AGGTTCTCCACCTTGGGAGGAAAAACCTGCAGCATCCTTATAGGCTTGGCAGTGCTACACTGGCTAGCACTATGGAAGAAAGAGATTTGGGGGTCATCATTGACCACAAAATGAACATGAGCCTTCAATGCAATGCTGCGGCTAGTAAAGTGACCAAAACGCTGGCTTGCATCATAGATGTTTCTCAAGCAAATCCCCGGACGTCATTCTTCTCCCATTGTACTCATCCTCGGTGAGGCCGCAGCTGGAGTACTGCGTCCAGTTTTGGGCGCCACAAATAAGTTTATCAGGGGTGACCACCGGTATCTGGGGGAACGTTTGTTCACCAGAGGGCCCCAAGGGATGACGAGGTCAAACAGTTATAAACTACTGCAAGGCCATTTCAGGCTGGATATAAGGAAGAATTTCTTTACTGTCTGAGCCCCCAAGGCCTGCCATTGAAGGTGTTCAATGTAGGTGCTTGAACACCTTCAAGAGAAATTTGGATGCTTATCTTGCTGGGATCCTATAACCCCAACTGGCTTCCTGCCCCTTGGGCAGGGGGCTGGACTCGACGATCTCCTTCTGAGGTCCTTTCCAGCTCTAATATCTATGAAATCTATGAAATATAGATTCGGAATTTTATGTCTAGTCCATTTTTAGCAACTGCAGGCTCTGTGGCGTTTTTGATATTCCCAGATAGATTGTAATGTTCTGAATTCTTATGCTTTTTTCTAGTTATGCCTCATGTTTTGTAAAACACATCTGAAAGTACTATCTAAACCTTGCCTATTGATTTCAGTGGGTCTGCTTCCATGTATGAAGGGGAACAAGACTTGGCTTGAATTTATATTTACAGACATGTCACACATACTTTGCAAAGTCGAACACTTATTTTTTCAACTTTAAATGTAAATTTGTTGGGTTTGTGTTTTTGCATAATTGGTATTGCTGTACGTGGTATGGGGGTACTTGTGATATGTTAATTATGTAATATATCTATATGTTTTAGGAAAGACCAGAATCTCTTATCCCCCGTGAATTGTTGGTACTTACTACTGAATCAAGTGAGAAGAGAAAGCAAAGACCATGCGACATTGAGTGATATTTATCTGAACAATGTTATCATGCGCTTCATGCAGATAAGTGAAGATTCCACCAGGATGTTCAAAAAGGTAATACATATCACATTGGATTTCAGTTAGCACTGGAAGGGAACAGTCTAACAGGTGCAGTTTTAAAGCAAGAATCAACAGTGTAGAAAGGAGTGCACTTGAACACATTAATATGTTCTTCAAAGCATTTTTCCACAGCAAAAATTGTTGTGTAAAAGTAGTATGGAAAGTGCTATCTGTGATGATGACCTTGATAATGGAACAGTTTTATATCCAGCAAGCAAAGAAGATGTTCCCTTCTTTGCTCAAAGGTGTGTTTGTGTAATCAAAGGAAGGAAAAAATAGTTGGCAACTTTAACCTAGATGTGTTATAGTGTTATTGAGCTATTTGTAGAAATGTTATTTGGCTTTGACATGAGAGAAATTCTGATTCAGGTAGTGAGGATCTTGGATTCCATGCATTAAGCTTGTGATCATTTTATCCTGAAGGTGATCTCTGGAGACAAGGAGACAGTCACATGCTCTGCTTCTTTCAGAATATTGTGTTTTCTTCCCTTTTCGTGTTGCTTTTTTTTTTCAGTAGCACAGCTACTGGGGCTTCATTTAAACTTGGCTTTGTACAAGTTGTCCAGAGATTTTGTTTAAAAGATTATTAGTTTCATAAGACAGTGCAACTCCCTCTCTGGCACAAAGGCAGTCTCAGTTTGATGTTTGTTTGTGTGCTCGGTCTGTAGCCATCGTCGTTATAGTGTTCTAGAATAAAAATAGAATGTAAATACATGATCATCACTCACAGACTGATTCTGTAAGCACGCAGGAAATTTATTGCAAAATTGAGTCCCCAAAGAGCAAAGTTTAAAGATACACAATCAGAGATTCAATGATGGCATTTCCTAATGGTTATCAAGATACCTGATTATGATTACAAAATTGGAATTCATTTGACAGAGAAAGACTTGTCACCTTCTAGAAAGATATGAATAGGTAGTGACAGGTTTCAGGAATTTCTTAGCAAATGATGAAATAGTACAAATGAAAGAGTAAGTGAAATAATATTAACCAAATGCATTGTTATGTAATAAACCTGTGACAAAAATTTAACTAAAATTGATTACTTTCTCACTGCTTTGTAGCTCACTCACAGAATGTCCTCTTGGATGCATAAATCTGCTCTACACAAACTGCTATACTAATTAATAAGAAAGGTATTATAGATGTTTAAAAAGAAAATTAGGAAAGCATTTTGAGTAGAGTCCAGCAAAAAATCTACATGCTGTTTTCTCATTAACTTCAGCAATAATACAAAGTGGTTGGCTTTCAGTACCGGGTCCTTTCTAAGATTCAAAAGTTGATTAATTTAAATACTTATGATTTAAATTTCATAAATCTGAGCTGTTTATGGTCTAGATTCTTGAATCTAACACTGAAGCCCAGTCTACAATAGCTCTGACTATGCTAGCAAAACCTTCCAAGGGAAATCACAAAGCATACAAAAATATAGAGTTTGTATGAACAGCTTATACCACCAGTTTAGCAAATGATACCACTTTTAGGTCATTATTACTGCCTCTATCCTAGGGATTTTGCCAGCATGTAGGTGTAAAAAAAATAGAATCACATCTCACCAACATAACTATGACTGGCAAATTTTCTAATATGAAGATTTTCTAATGTTAAGTTGTTTAATAATATTTTCAAAAGCATGTACAAGCAAGTTCTTATGTTAACAGAAAGAAGGGAAGGCTTAGAGATCAGCTAGTTCAGAGAGGCATAAGCTTTTGTAGGTGACAGCTACTTCATTAGATGGTCTAAGGTAGTAGGCACCCATTTTTTTGGCAGTTGGGCCACAAATTAGCCCCTCACCCTCCATGCATGCCACTCAGATCCCCTTCCTTTGCCCAGTCTGCTGCTCTGCTTTCCCTGTTCTGTGCTCCCTGCTTGATCTCTTCCTCTGCTTTCTGATTCCTGTCCTGTGCTCCTTGCTCAATCTCTTGCTTTGCTTTCTGCTTCCAGCCCCAACTGCTGCTGTGCTTCCTGTCCCCTCCCTGATCTGCCATACACACAGGCTACCATGTCACTTCTGGCACTCATGCCACAGGTTGCCTACCCCTGCTGCAAGGTGCTACTCTCCCCTGCCTTTTGCCTGACTTCACACCAACACAGCTAAATACTTCTGTTAAATAATGGGACTGAAAATGTTATTGTTTACATATACTACCTAAAAGTGAAATTAACTATCCATGAATTGAACCCATTCAAGTAGTTTTACTGAAAAGTTACAGTTACTGGTCTGCAGCAATCACCTACATCATTTAAGTTCCACATTACAAAGGTGCACATTAGCTTTTAAATGAGAAATGGTGGGGAGAATGGGTATTTTAAAGCATTTGTTTTAATGTATCGTTTACCATATTTTATAGTGTATAGGTCGAGTTTTGAACCCAAAAAATTATACCCTTAAATTTCCACCTTGACTTATACACCATATCAGTACTTCAGCCGGACCCTGCACCAGCGCCCTGCCACATGGGCCTTTGGGATCTCAGGAAGCACACAGATCAGGGCGCGCTGCCACTGTGGAAGGAAGGACTGCCCCCAGCTCAGGCTGCCCAGCCTGGCAGCAGCTCACCCCCCAGCCATGTGAGAGGCAGGCAGGCTCTGCCGATAGCAGAATTGGGCCCCTCGCTACTTCTGCCTTCAGCAGGCTCCTGCAGCCCAGAGAATGTCTGGTGCCACCTGGGAAGGGCCTGCCTTGCGTCTGGGCATGATGGGGGGACACCAGGAGGGTGGCAGGGTGTGCTGGAAGTGGGGATGGTGTGCAAGGTGCTGAAAGCAGGGGCAGCACCCACCCCTGCCCAATACCCCAAACTGCCCATGGGGCGAGGCAATCCCTTCCTGGGTAGTGTCAGGTGTCCTGTGGGCTGCAGGAGCCTGCTAAAGGCAAAAGTGGCAAGGGGCCTGGTCTTGCTTTTGGTGGAGCCTGGCCACCACAACCTGCAGACAGGAGGCAAGCTGCTACTGGGTCAGGCAGCCCCTGAGCTGTAGAGGAGGGGGGCTGCTAGGCTCCACTGCCTTTTCCTCTCAACAATGCACCCAGCCATCCTCCTGCCATGCTCTGCCCCCCAGGCAAGGCAGGGTCAACTTATACACAGGATCTTCGAAAATCCAAACTTTTTGAACAGAAATATGGGGTCGACTTATACAGCATGTTGACTTGTACGTTGTAAAATACAGTAGCTACCCCCCCTGGAGTCAGGAATTATTTTTGACTGTTAAATAGTCATTTAACCCTGACCTACTTCTAAAGCTATTTTTGCCTTCCCCTTTATATAGAAATCACCAGGAAATTTTATTTTGATTAACTGCTTCCACTGGGTTTTCCTGTGCCTGTCAGGAACAACACCCCCTCTTTATATGTAGCACTCTTTCTGTAGCCGTGTGTAAACCCAATATTAAGTGCAAAGTTTTGGGTTGGGTTTTTTTGCTCAGAATACATAGTTTTTGCAACTTTTTGTAGTCCTAAGCCATCCTTAGTAGTTCAATACTTATCATTTAAATGAAGTATTTGTTTTTAAATAAAAAGTAGAACTTAGGAAGAAGGGAAGGATAATACTCAAATGAAGTCAATAATACTAAGCATTGTGTGTGGGATAATAGGGTTTTTTTGGTTTTTGGGATTCTTTGAACAGGTGTTTTTTTTTTTCTAGCAGTATAAACCACAAGTCTTTCCTGGTTAGGAGACACCTCTTGCTTTTAGTACAAGTAACAACAGCAATTGCACCACATTTCTAAAGGTATCATTTGATAATGAATAAAATCTTGTACTATACTGTAGCTTTTAGTTTACTTTTAAGGAATCTTATTTTCCTGTTAAGATCACAAATACTTTTGCTTGTAAGGGAGCCTAAAAACAAGTGTATAATCCCTTCCCAATTTAAGTAATATAAGCTCTCATTTACTCACTCTGTTTATCACAGTTGTACAATTAATTTCATGACTGACAAACATAGAAAAAGAGCTACAAAAAGAAAGCAGGTATAATTAGATTAGATTGGTCTTTGAGCTTTGATCAGACTTGTTCATTTCAAAGCTCTTTCCATCAAGGTGGCAGCTGTTGGCTTGGATCATCTGTCTGGGCAGCAGCTCACATAGGTGTTGACTGGCTGGCAGAGTCCAATTAGCACTACAGGTATACTGGCATCCATTCGTTCTTCAGCAGCAGTGTCAGGCAGTTACAAGTTTTGTATCATTCTTTTAGATCACAGAAAGGTTCAGGAGGTATTACCTTAGTACATTTAATCTTTCCTTTTCAGTGCAGCATAGACATCCAATTTAGGGCCAGAGTTTGAAGAGTATATACTTTGTTGTCTTTGGGCCCAAGAACCTAGCTTTTCTCTATCAAGAGGAAAATTAGGAGAGTCCTAGGAAACAGAAATAAAGAAACCAAAGAAGGGAACTAAAAAATGGAAAATTCTGCGTGGAGCTTGGAAACGGTATATGTAGCTTTGAATTGTTCAGTTGTATACACAGTTTATGGTGCATTACAGACTTGTTTTGGTACCATGAGATAATAAGCAGTACCATTCACAGTCATATGGAGACTGCCTGTATCTGACCTTGAACAAATGGGCCTTGTAGAAACAGTGGAACTAGTTTTTTCAGCTGAGAATGCAGTTGCCAAGAATTTTTTCCTTTCTTCTTTAAGCTTGACATAGCTGGCATATGTCTTCATCTTAAGACGCAAAAGTTCAGGTGTTTGTTGTTAGGATTCTTGCTTACCTTGTCTCCAGAAGTGCTGTACAAGAGCATCTAAATTAAGCCTTGTTTATTGAGGCATGCCTTTATTCAAACCTAGTTTTTAGGTGAGCTTCTGATGCTTCTTCCCCATTGGTCAAGGAGTAATAGTTATATAGAGAATTATGTCATGCATATATTATGGGAAGGGCAGTGTCACTCTTCCAAGTACTAACCTAATTTTTTCTCAGATCGTATTTCTACTTTGAATTCTTTCATTTCTAACCTCATATTTTGTATGAGAGAAAGAGTTAGCTGTGATAGTC